ATTAACCCCATTTTTTTCTTCTAGTTGGTTCTGATTTGATATTCAGAAATAAAAATATTGATTCAAAACTATCACCGCAGCCCAGCCAGCATGGCTCAGTGGTTGAGCATCGGCCTATGAACCAGGCGGTCAGGGTTCGATTCCCGGTCAGGGCACATGCCCAGGTTGCTGGCTCCATCCCCTGCGTCCGNGTGGTTGAGCATCGGCCTATGAACCAGGCGGTCAGGGTTCGATTCCCGGTCAGGGCACATGCCCAGGTTGCTGGCTCCATCCCCTGCGTCCGTGCAGGAGGCAGCAGATCAATGACTCTCTCTCTCATCATTGATGTTTCTATCTCTCACTTCCTCTCTCTGAAATCAATAAAACCGTATTTTTTTAAAAATATATACGTATCAGCACAGAGACAACAGCTAGCATTGGAAATATTCGTCTCACTACGTGGCACCCTGTCCCACCAGCCACTCAGGCTGGCACCTGGGGCGAATGCCCACCTTCGGGAGGTCTCTTCCTCCTCCTGCTCTGCCCCCTGGTCGGTCTCTGGGCAGTGCCTGTTGACTCCGGCACCAGATGTCTTTTGACACCTCTTGTCCCTCTGCTTCATCACCAGCGCTCCCCAAGCATGAGCCTGCTCGGGGCCCCTGGGCCCTCCGCGGTGTCCCTGCGGGCTCCCTGCTTCCATCCCGCCCCGCCAGCCTTCTCCGCCCGCCCGCCCGCAGCCAGGCCCAACTTTCCAGAAGCGAGCCGGCTCCTGGGGCATACCTGCCGCTCCTTCATTAGCATTTTCCTCGTCTCCTGGACTAAGATCGAAGCCCAGACTCTAAAGGAGCCCCCAAGGCCCTCACTGGCTCCGGGTTCCTCTAAGACGCCCGGCCCTTGCTCGGCGCACCCGCCCTCCAGCGGCCCGCCCCGCGCTCGCTCTGCTCTGAGGACTCAGCACGCGCCGCTTCCGCGGGTGCAGCGTTCTGGGGGCCTCTCGCTGCCCGCCCGAGGACACTGCAGGATGTCATCAGTCTGTTAGGGGTATTTGATTAATACTCACCTGGCATAAACGCAGGGACACAGCCCTGGCCCCACGCGGAGGCCCGAGTCCTAGAGCTCGGCTGCCGCCTCTGTATTTACACACAGCGTCCCTTAGGTGTGACTCCAGCGGGAGGTCAGGATGTCTCCATGAGCCTCAGTGCTGCAGGTAGTGACTCCGGGGACCGAGGCGGGCTGTTCTGTCATTGGCGCTCCGGCTGCTCCCTGCACCATGTTCTCAGTGTGCATGGGTCACTTCAACAGACTTGGAAGTGTATCTTTAACTGCAGATACTTGTCTTGGGGCCAGTCTTTCACCTAGAAAATGAGATGACAGTCACATCAGATGCAAATCCGATCCTGATCTTATAACTAGTTCAGAAGTGAGTGTGTTCTGGCGGCCCAGGTCTCCCGGGAGGTAGAGCAGACTGTGGGAGAGGCGCACACGTTGACCGTAACCTGCGAGGTATAAACAGGGCTTTTCTCCTGGACAGTTCTGGGCTCTAACCAGATAAAAGCAATGTCAAAGCTAATTAGCGTGCTCACAGAAAATAGAAATGCATACTTTGGACTTTTTTACATACACACATAACAGGGAATGTAGCCTCAGAAAGCTCAGAGTGCCAACACAATATTAAATACGGCATGCATCTTCAAAGTAAGTGGTTTTCAAAATTGAACTTGAGATGAAACATAGTAAGGTGAACTCTTACCTGGGGAAAATCTCACAGGCTCCCACACTATTGTGTATTTGCTGCTGGGTGTGGTGAGAATATGCCAGGTAGCGAAAGCTTGGCGGCACAGCTCAGAGCAGGTGCTCAGGGTGCTGCTTTACTACACTTTCCAAATTAGGAACCACTTTTGGGTGGCATTTAAAAGGGCTGCAGGAGTGCATTTTGATTGAGAGGCAGTTTTGCAAACTGGTTCCAGACTGTAGCTGTCATTCTGTGTTAAGTTGGACCTGCATGACTCACTCACTGGGGAGGAAAGGAGGGGTGTTTAAACTGGAAAAATGGGTCAAACAATCTCCAGTAGATTTCATCACACCTCTGTTTATTGCAAAGTCATATCTTCAGTTCAATTAAGGAGATCCATTCCTCCATGCCAGAAGTTTGTTACTCTGGGACAGCCATCGAAGGGTCTTGGAACACCGTGAGGTGACATGCCGCCTCTGTGCACGCGCTGTGGGTGCACATGCAGAGGCCCGTGTGTGTGCAGAGGTCTGTGTGCTCATGTAGAGGCCCGTGTGCTTGTATAGAGGCCCATGTGTGTGTACAAAGGCCTGTGTGCGTGTGCAGAGGCCCGTGTGCTCATACAGAGGCCCGTGTGCACATGCAGAGGCTCCCTGCACTCTGCAGGGGGAGGGTCCAGTCTTTATCAGACTCCCTCAGTCGGGCCGGGTTGCCAGAAAGATAGTTTTCTCCAGTTCAGGAGGCGGAGGGAGTGGAAGAGGTTGAAGTTGGGTGTCCAAGGACTGCAGAGTAGCCCAGCGAAGGAGGAAGTGTGACATTTCCCTCAGGTGAGCCCGCGATGCAGCTCACTCGCGGTCCCCATGACACTTTGTGAACAGCAGTCTGAAAGGAGACTGGAGCTTGGAGGATTGGAGATCTAACTGTGAAAAGGTGGTGGTGTCAGTAGACAGACCCTGCAACCTGACATGTGCTACTCATTTGAGGGACCAAGAGTGGATGGGCATTTGAATGGGAGGAATGCAGCTCTCAGGGAAAACGGGGAGGCCCTTGATTGAATTCTTTGCTTTTACATTTAAAAATCTTTCTTTCCCCCTCCCAGAAGTGAATGAAAACAAAGTGCCACCAAAGTGTAAAAAACAGAAAGTAACAATCCCATTAATTCTTTTTACCAAGATTAATCTCAAAATGAAAATAGCTTTAAATTATGTCTCGATGATAAGAAGCATTCTCTGTGCATTCTAATAAAAAGTAGGCAATATAGGAAAGTATAAAGAGGGGGTTACCCACCCCGAATCCCGTTTCTATATTTATGCTAATGTGTGTGCACGCCCAAGATGGGCCGGTGCTGCATGTGCTGGCTCATAAAGACCACAGCGAAGAGAAAAACAAACCCCATGTGCATGCAAAAGAGAATGGAGATTCTGTCACTGATGTTTTCTGACTCTGAAAATCTTCAGCATGTCTCCAGGAGAAGCAAGAAGGCAGAAATCCGATAGCTGGCCCTAAGAGCCTTGGTCACTCTTGGGGAGGATGCTGTTGGAAGTTGGCATAACCCAGTTCTATTCCAAGTCTTTGGAATGCTGATCCACCCAGGTCTGAGCTGAGCTCTTTATTCTCAGAAGAGAACCACGATAATGTGGGTTTATGATGGTGTTCGTCACCACCCAGACTGTTTTCCTGGCATCTTCCCCAGAGCATGCTGTCTCCTTGAGCCTAAGTGAATTAAACCCCTCATACAGTTTTACCAAGACCTCTTTGCTAGTTTAGAATGTGGGCCTCAAATTTCTCCCGCCGGCACACCAAGTAACATTTTAAATGGTCTGTCTTACCTTCATTAAATGCATGCCCAATTTTCTTCAACTTTGAATCCTTGCCAAAACCTGATTTCAGATTGTAATCTGTAATTGTCAAGGGCACATGAAGCTTTTGTCCTACCTTGGGCTCTCTTCAGATACTTGTTTCAAATTAAAGACTGGAAGGAGAAGGGCAGAGAGACCTGAGATTTAAATGGAAGGGACCTTGGAAATTTCCATTGATATTGGGACTGAAAAGGGGAGGAGACCTAGGAGAAAGCGAGGAAGAACTAATGCTGGAATTCATTGTAAGACTGAGGGGAAGAGTTTGATTCTATAAAGAACTTTAGAGACCCACAATGCTCTGGGTCAAAGATCTTATAAAGTCCTTAAAAAGCATAAGCTATACAAGATCTGTAAGGCAAGACAGAGATGCCCCTTCCTGTCCTCTGTGCCTGTAGGATGCTCTTCAGCAGGTAAGTGTAGGGACATAGCACCTGTCGTGTGAGAGGCAGGATTCCAGGATTTTATTTTGAATGGGGGAAACGAAACACCTGGGCTTACCCCAGTCTTTTACGAGAGCAAATAAACACTGAAATTATTTTATTTCCCACCCGGTATTTTTCCTCCCCCTAATTTTTGCTCTCTGTGAGCTTTTCACAGAATGGGAAGGGTCATTTGTTCCACAGGTTTGAAGGACCACCGGCTTATTCTGTTGAAATTTAGTGAAATTCTTTCCCTTTGAATACCACTTGGACTTTGGACAGGGTACAAATCTAAGAAGGCGGACCCCCAGAGGTCAACCCGTATATAAAGTTTGATGTTGGTTTTCAACCAACAGTAGTGTCAGGAGATCAAGAAGTGACGTGTGATGTCTGCAAAATTGATAACCCAAGAATTATGAAAGCTCTTCATATAATTGTTACTTATATACTTATAAGTTCAAGTGCACTTAATGATTTTTAAAAGCGCTGATCCCCTTTTGTTAGAGTCCAGAAGAACTGATGACAAGCCCTTAAATAGGAGTCAGGTATTATCAAAAGAATAATAGAAGACATGGATTCCCAAAAAACATTTTTAGCGCTGATTATGTTTCTTTCGGATATCAAAGCCTTACATTTAAGCCACTCATGGTATTTTATGTCACGCATTTTGTCAAAAAATGAGGATGTTGAAACTGATACATCTTGTCATAAATGAGCCCAGTGTCTTAGCCAAGAACCTACGATGAAAACTGGATTTGTTTTCTGCCACAGCCCAGAGCGCAGTATGGTCTGTGATTATGTCTTTGCATCTGGCCCACCCCCTCTCTGTATGCCAATCACTTGGGGATTTATCTGCATTCAGCATTAGCTGGAGGAAGGTGGAAGCCAAAATATTGTTGATATATTTGTGTATGTGTGCGCAGAAGTGCTGAACAAAGACAGGCTGGTGGAAACACCCACCAGAGAAGCAATAATAACCCTCACGTCTCACCCCTCTCACTCGCTTCCTTTCAGCAACCACTGGAAAGAAAGGACAGCCAGAGCAGCTCCCAGCACAGCGTTTCCAGCCACCGAAGCCTGCACACGGCGTCCCCCAGCCACAGCGCACAGGTGCTCCCCGAGTACCCACCTGCAGAGGCCCCCGCTGCAGATCAGGCCGACAGCTCTGGGCAGAAAAAACCAGATCCTTTTAAAATCTGGGCCCAGTCCAGGAGCATGTATGAAAGCCGACGTGAGTAGCACCCAGGCTGCGTTCTGTCCGCAGCCCCACCTCAGGGGCTTCAACTTCCTCTCCAGGCTTATTAAAAATAGATTTTCAGTATGTGGACTGGAGAGAGGTAGACCAAGGTGAGAGGGGAAAGCTTAGCAGCAGTGGTCGAATCTGCTGGATACTCATGGAGGCTCCATTACATCTTCAGCTTGGGGAGGGTGGATGTGGGTGGTCATCAGTTACAGGGCCTGGATGAACATGGGTTTATTTTCCCTCGCAGTTAAGAGAAGTGGAGGTTGAGGCAGCTCTTGTGAAACAGCTCCGATCTGCAGTAGAACATAAATATAATATTCATTTATCTTGTTTCCAGTGAAAGGCCCTAAAATGCTTTCCTCTGGGGGCACACACACAGACGGCCCTGGCTGTGGCTGCAGCTGACCTTTCCTCGCGCGTGTGGTCAGGATGAGGCGGTGGAGGTCACGTGCTTCCTTTTCCCTGGTTGGCCTGGGGCAGGAGAGACTGTGTCCGACGGAGGCCAGGCCTGTAAAGGGTCCAGTTAAGCCGAGGGAAGAGGGAATCGTTCTGCCCGTCCCCCTGGCCGGGCCCCTGGAGAGCTGAGGCCCAGAGGGGTGGGGCGAGGCGGCCCCCCAGCCTCTGCCCCCCACTCAGATGCAGCCGGGAAGCATTTCCCTTGCTGAAGCAGCGCCCCTGTGACCCAAACTGAACGGGGTGAGGCCAGCACCCCTGTCTGAGGAGGAGGGTTGGCTGCACGGCTGGGTGCAGTTCAGCGGTTAGGGGCACGAGGCAAGTGGAACCCAGCTGCTTGTCCAGTTGCAGAGTGACCCCGCCGGGCCCCGCCACTGTTGCCTCCCCAGGGGAGGAAGTCATGGCCTTCTCGTTACAACAGTGCATGAGCGGAATAGACTTTTGACTAAGGGCTCCCTACGCTGGCAAAAGCCACATAAGTGGAGAAGGGATTTATTGGGCCCCCAGAGGAGAAAGCCCCCCTGGAGCAACCCTGACGCCAGGCCCCAGGAAATGCAGTTCCACTTGCAGCTTCTCTTGAGAGCAGTAGTTACTGAGTGTGAACCTGGAGCCTGTTCTCACTGTGTCTTCTCACCAGTTGTAGAGATTTCGTTGAAGCAATGTTTCCCAAAGGGGAACACTGCCACATTCTCTTCGCATTCCTCTTAAGCCGGGCGGCTTCTCCAGTCGACGGCCCAACTTCCACTGAGGCTGGGATGTTGCTTCATGGGCCGTGCCCCTGGTTTTCTCCACACAGGGCACGTGCAGGACTGAGTTTCCCGTTTATGAATCTTTTCGTAGTAAAATAAGTCGACAGGCAATGCTAACCATCCAGGGAACAGGAGGTCCAGCTCAGATGCTGTTTTTTTACCTTGATAGAAGCAAAATTTCTTCAGAATTTGTTATTTAAAGTCTTCACCACAACCCTCAGACTCTAAGAAAAACATGTAATCTTCCCACAGCCAGCTGCCGTAAGCGGCAGAATTGCTCAGGTGGCAGGCAGACTGGGACACTTGGGATGGGGCCAGTCTTGTGTCTTCACTTTCTTTAACATCTGGAGGATTAGGATCCAGCCGCACAAATAGAACCAGTTCCTTTTGGGGGATTGGAGGCTCCGTAATTGAGTGATTGTAGCAACTTAATTGATGTTGAGATTTACTTGGATTTCTTCTTGCCACTAAATGAGGGTAATGATGACCCCCCAATTGTAATTATTCTGAATCTGTCACAGATTTTCCTCGTTTCACAGAACCTATGAATGAACCTACATTAATCTTGTCTTTTAATTAGTATTTTGCTTTATCTCTGATCAGTCTCTGCCATTCTCTTGATGGATTTTTTTGTCTTGTCTTTTGAAAAAAAAACAAATACAGTGTGTAGCCTAAGATGTGATTCGCTGCCCCTCCCCCCAAGACATTAAACTGAGCAAAGTACTCAGGAAAGTTGAAGTCAGCTATAGTACTTTAATTGTATCTTTAATTTATATCCCCCCTTTGGGGAGAAATATATTTTCCTTCTATTTCATTTTATTGAGAAGGGCAATGTGACAATTAACACAGACTCTGATCCAATTCCTTCACATGGTCTAAATACTGTGCAAACTACCATATTGTTGGTACCTCCTCTGTCAAAACAGCAGTGTCAGATGAATGGATCTGACGTGCAGACGTGTTAATAAATCCCTTTGAAGGGCTTCAGTGTTTAATTAAAAACGAAGGCAGGCATGGAGGTCCTTTAAAAGCCATATTGCTTGTTTTGTATTTTTTTTCCTAAGTAACATGCCTATTGTGTGCACATGTTTTTAAAAATGACACTGATACAGTCTCACTAGTTAAGGTTCAGGACCAGCTAGTATCCAGTAGTGTTTACTATAAAAGAAAGTCTAAAACTTACAGTTGAAATGTTGCCCGGTCACAAAATAGTTCTGAAAGAAAAAATGTTAAAGCTGTCACATTAACCAACTTAGACCTGCGCTGCTCGGGGGAGTCATGCTTCAGATTTGGAACTGGTGAGTGGGCTGCTTTATCAAAGCGCGTTTCAGAAGCTTGGGTGTACTTCTGGGTTTTAAGAGCTATTATGACAGTTCTTATTTGTGTGTGTTCAGACCTTGGCCAGATCTGATGATTTGTGCCCCTAAATGGAAGACTGTTCTGGTTGAACTGCCTAGAATTCATCTGAGCAGGTATCAGCACAAGCATGAAGTCCATCAGGAACCTGTTACTCTTTTAAATAAATGCTGTAGTGTGGCAGTTACAAAAGTATACTTACTTTTTTTCAAAAGGAAGTAAGGGTTTAGACAAATTTAAAGTTCATGACATGATTAAAAGAAAGTCATACGAGAATGTGTACTTTGGGGTTTAATTAAATATGAAGAGTCTAAAATGGTAATGGGAGTTCTATGAAATTCTCAGCAGTACAATTGTAAATTCTAACTTTTTGACAAGAAAAGCACCATGAAAAAAAGAAAAAAAGAAAGCAGACTCAAACTGCAATCTTTTAAAACCCACAGCAGCATGACCTTTACTGTGAGAGCTTAACTGCACGTTCCTTATCAATCAAACGAAATTAAATTGAACAGAGAGAAAGCACATACATTAAGCTTTGCAAAATTGTGAAATTAATATTCCAGCTATGTCACCTTCGCCTGCATCGGGACTGAGCAAGGGGGAAAGAGAGAGAGAAAGCAATTCCACGAGTTTTGGAGAATGTCAGAGTAAGGATTCGCTAAAAACTTGTTTCTCCATTATATTCATCCTGTTTGATGTTCCCATTGGTCGGGGGGGCTGGGAGAAACTCAAAGAGAAATGTCACGAACAAAGTGTTTTGGTGTTCTTGTTGACCAGGCAGAGACCAAAGACAAGATGAAATAAAAAGCGATGGGCATGTTTTTGCTAAGTCTGGGAATGTGCATCTTCAGTAATGGAGACACCGGGAGGTTTCTCTGCAAACCTGGTGATTCCATTCCTTCAAATTAGCGAAGGAAGTCTTTTGAGCGCTTTTTGAGGTGTCACTTGCCTTGCCAAACGAGATTAACTGATGAGATTGTCTCCTGTGCAAGGGTTTGAAAGTGAAAAAAGCTGGACAAGATTCTCTTAGCTCTTTTTGGTTTAGCCTCACTCGAAAGAAAAACAACGGGATGTAAACATCAGAAACTTGGTTCTACTCTGCTGCCTCCTAAAAGTGCAATTAAAATAGAATCTGCCTGAAATAAAGAAGAGAACAAGCCATCTGGGGGAGTAGTTGAGAAACCTCAGTGCCCCTGGCAGCAGAGGACACAGAAAGAGAAGGCCTGTGATTCCGTGTGACCCAGTACCAATGTATCACCAAAGTTGACGTACTTCTGTGCGTGGCATTTGGTCGGTGGAAGAAAAGTATAATTGTTAAAATGCCAAAGTTACGGCGCCAAAAGACTTCCTTTGCGACATCCCTGTGTGTCAGTGTATGTGTTTGTGTCCCTGTCTCTGTTTTCCTGGCTAATCATTGGAGTCCTCAACATTCTTGGTGTCATTGGGCATCTTGCTTTTTAAATAAATTTTGCCATTTTCCCATTGATTCTCAGAGAGAAACAAATGCTTTTTTCCTACGGACTAACCTGATTGATAAGCCTGCGTCTGCTGGCCACAGCCACCCACCCGTACAGTGATAGCTCCCCCCGAGTGAGCGATAAGGCAAAAGCTGCTACGCTTGGTGTCACTCTAGGATGGGCAGCTGTTCCTGTGCTAAATGATGCTAAGAAAGGGGAGTCTGGGCTGGAGGTCTCTGCGGAGCCCTTTGCTTGTTCACAGAAAGGCTCGGCTGACTCCCAGCCGCTCTGCCGGGAGCCCAGTGCCGGCAGGAAGGCACCAGGTCCATTTTGGTAATAATCCTCCTGCTTCAGTGAACTGAAGACCGAGACCCAACTTCACTTACTTTGTTGTTTCCACGAGTCTATTACACTAAATACCCTTAGCCAGATACTCAAACAGAAGGAAAATAGTGTTGCCTTAGCATGCTCAAGAAAATATAATTCTCAAATCATGTCTATGGAGCAGCTTAACTCCGTGTTCCGTGGCCTCTAGGAGCTTAGCTCGGCAATTATAATAAAAGAGCACTGGGTAGAAAGCAACGTGTAAAGCCCTGGCATTAAGATAGCTCAGATTCAGACCTCCCTGACTTGTACCTACCTGTTTCCTTAGCTGCTGCTTTCTCTGCGCATTCGCTCACTGTGCATTCTAAGCCTGTGGGTGAGGCACTAAAGGGGCGCATTTCTCCCCAACTCGAAACGTAAACACCTCCTCCTCCTCCGTGTTCCATGGTACAGAACTGGAGATGAGAATCCAGGCTCAGGCCCACACACTGCCTCAGCCCAAAACCCAATTATTAATGAGCCAGAAAGCCTACAGAACAGTGTTTGAAAATCATTTTTAAGATTCACTGCCACTAAACTACATTTTTTTCTTTTTAAATAAAAGATACTTCACTTATAGATTATGGAACACTATATGTTAAATAAGAATAAAAAAGAAATGACCCTTTTTTATTACCTTAGGTAACAGAGTGGTATATAGGACAATTTCGTGCGCAGCAAGCATGTTTTTATAGAAAGTACTTTTCTTCTAAAAAATGAGATTTTTTTTTATTTTAAAACCCTGCAATAATGAGTTTTAAAAGTAAAATATCCAGTTATTGAATAATAAATTAACACTTCTAATGTTGAGATATTATAGGCAAATTCTGGAGTCAAGCAGTCACTCATTTTAATGATACAATGTGGTTCATTGACAAAGAACAACTTTATTGTCACCATCAATCTTAAAGAAATGGAAGGCTGGCTCCTGTTTGGTAATAGTGCTGAAACCCTAGTAAACTTTGCAAGTTTGGAAATACTAGGATGTTTAAGACTAACTTTTTTGGCAAAAATGATCACAAGTTACATCATTGGCATGGCTGGTCTAGAAAGGCGTGTGTGTGTCAGTGGAACACTCTTTGCCCCGAGCTCGCCCTTCTTTTGGCTGCCAGCACATCAGGCGGCTTATCCCTGAATCGCAGAGGCAGTGCCTGCGCCAGAGGCCCCCCGACTCAGCAGCTCTCTCCTGGGGCACGGGCACCTCTGTGTGGGGCGCCCGCGGCGCTTCGCATTCGGTCCCCTCGCAGCAGCACCGAGGACAGGCGCCAATGCCCATCTCGGGCCTAGGCAGGGATGATGACGGGCTGGATTAGGAATTATCCAACGTCGGTTAGTCCTGTGGAAAAACTTAGGGCTCAATGATACTCCCTCTGTTTACTGTCACCCAGCGTCCTCTGTTACGTCACACATCCAGATTACTTTGTTCCCTTGTCTGTGTTAGAAAACTGTCACCTGCTCAAGCACCGTCACTGTCGGTCCTGTAACTGTGTGACTTTGGGGGTGGGAATCCTTTTAGCAGAAAAATAACCTCTCTTCCTTCTTTCCTCTCTAGTTCCAGATTACCAAGAACAGGACATCTTTCTCTGGAGAAAAGAGACTGGATTTGGATTTAGGATTCTGGGTGGAAATGAACCAGGGGAACCTGTGAGTCTTTTGTCTCCCCCTTCCCCCCCCACACACCCAGTGCTGTTTTCTGGGACTTCAAAGCATTTTGGCAGCAGTAACAAATCCCCAAGATTCAAGTCCAGCGAGGGGCCACGCTGACCACGTCATCCCAGGCAGTGGAACTTTTCTTTAGGTTTTGTGGGGCTTTTTTGTCTTGAGGGGAAGGGACTAGTGTTACAGAACAGAAAGAGCTCATCCACCAGCGCTGGCTGAGCCAAATGCTAGACACCGAGAATCGCCGTGGAGGAAGGTTGGCCATTTTATCATGATGGTGCCACCCAGGAGAACCAGAAGCTAAGGCTCAAAGCCCGAGCTCCCCCATGGCATGTGGGATACAGGTTTTATGGGGCAAAATCACAAGACACCGTGGGTTAGGGGCTCGGGGTTGTGCTGGGAGCTGATTGGTCAGAGGTGAGATAAGGGTAATGAATTATTTTTGCAGATCTCAAGGACAGCTCTGGGGTCTGCTTTAGTGTCCCTCTGTCTGGTTCATGGGGAAGTAGCCAGGGAGTCATTCCACCTCAGGGCTCAGGAGCTGAAACATAACCTAGGGCAAGATGTTATCTCTATCCTGCCAGAGGTCCAGACCCATGACCATTAGGTCAGCTCCTGTCTGCTGCTGCCTGGGGGTTGCTGATTATCCGGGGAAAGGCTAGGTCTCTGAGGGGCATAGACACCAAGAGAGATGATTTCTAGAGCTAGGATTAAAGCTAGATTTAATGGAAGTCATAAGAACCCTCACTTTCACTAGTTTCTACTCACATATATGAAAAGTGGGAGCTGCCCATCAAAGAAAATAAAACCAGAAAGTAAGAAAGGAATTGGTATCAACTGAGAAAACAATGACCAGTTGTGTATGTTGAGTAGCACCAGGTTGAGAGCACCTCAGAAGGTATCACGAGAGATTGGAAACAGTAGGACCCCCGTCTTGACAGCAGGAGAGGAAGAACCCTAAACAAGGCTCAGGAGACAGGTAACCTCTCCGGGCCTCCTCCTCAGAATCAACTTAGTATCACATCACAGAATCCTTTGGAAAGGGGAAGAGAGAACTAAAGAAATGTATTGTTAATTCCCGCATCACAATGAAAATAACTTATTTATCGAGTGCTCACTCTGTGGCAGATGCTATGCCAAAGGCTTTAACATACATTTTCTCATTTATCCATTCAAACCCATGAATGTGCCCCCAGTTTTGAAATCATCAAACAAAGACACAAAAAGGTTAATTGACTTGCCCAAGATCATAGAGTTAGGACGTGGAAGGACTGGAAAGGGTCTGATTCCAGAGCCCATATTCCTAACCACTCTCCGGTCCAGGTTTTGGGAAGCTGTACATGTCATGCCAAGGTAGCTGCAGCATTGTCACCCAGCGAGAAGGCGGGGCAGGCACAAGTATTTTAACTCAAGGTTGGGTGGTAAATATAAGACACTAAATAAAGCTTGCATGGATGCNTGTCACCCAGCGAGAAGGCGGGGCAGGCACAAGTATTTTAACTCAAGGTTAGTGGGTGGTAAATTATAAGACACTAAATAAAGCTTGCATGGATGAGGGCGCTGAGAGGACAGAAAGGCGGGTGTCAGACCACTTTGCTGGATTCATTCTTTCATTCAACAGTATCTGTTGTGCATTCGCTATTGCAAGGCACAGTGCTGGATTTTAAAGAAAAGTAGTGTTACTGTTATAATTAGGAGTTTTCTGAANGCAAGGCACAGTGCTGGATTTTAAAGAAAAGTAGTGTTACTGTTATAATTAGCAGTTTTCTGAAAGGAGGGTTCTCAGGTAGACAGAAAAGGAGAAAGGGTTTTAAAAATGAATAAAGTGCTTTATTTCTGCAAAGGTGAAAAAGAGAATCATCACCGCAGATAAGTGTCAGGGAACCAAACATGAAAAAGCTCTCTCCTCCACCACGTGAGAACTGTGGTAGCACCCGGCACAGTGCCTGCTGTCCCGCGGGCACTCAGTAAATGTCGTGGCATGGACGCAGACACGAACGAACGAACGAACGAACGAATGATTGTTCTCAGAGATGTGAAGTCTATCAGTTTAGTAGCAAACCAGAAGGTCAGTGTTTTACCCGTCATCCAATTACTCAACAGATTTATATCGGTCACATCGTGCCACTGGGTGCTGCTGACACCGATGGCCGCCTGAGGTCTGGGGACGAGTTAATCTGTGTGGACGGGACGCCGGTCATTGGGAAATCGCACCAGCTTGTGGTGCAGCTTATGCAGCAAGCGGCCAAGCAGGGCCATGTCAACCTCACCGTGCGGCGGAAAGTGGTGTTTTCAGGTACGTTTCTTGTTTCTCATACATTCCTCAGACGAGGTNCCATGTCAACCTCACCGTGCGGCGGAAAGTGGTGTTTTCAGGTACGTTTCATGTTTCTCATACATCCCTTCAGACAAGGCGTTGCCGCTCGGTGCTCAGAAAAGGGCCCCTTCCTGTGTCTGCCTCCTCAAGCATCTAGTTTAGCAAATGTTTGCAAATGTGACTAAGCTCAGAGTTTCCAGATGGTTTGCTTTTCTCAAACCCTGCAACGCTGTCACTCGGAAGTACTTCAGTGCGCCGTGCGTACCTGGTCGGCACAGACTTCTAGAAGAAACGCATTACCTCCCCCGACACCTTGCCACCTGGAACTTAGCCATCCTCCTCATTCGATGATCACTCCCAACAGAAGAGGTCATTGCGAGTCAGGAGAATTGTTAACTTCAAATTAAGAGAACAAAAATTAGGTTGTGCTCTGTTGTTGACAGTCACACGTATTAAAGCAAGACTTTTTTCCCCTCTGCAAGAAGGGTGCACGCTGCCTGGTTCTAGGTCATATTTGATTCTTTCCTCCTACAGGCTTCCAAGTACTTGAGTTCTCAAAATACTGCATATCCTTTCAGGGCAGTCTCAAATATGACCTTCTCTGTGTCACCCTCAGATAGTCCCTCCTTCCTCCAGCCGCCTCCACACCTGAGCTCCCTTCTTGCCATCCTTGTGAATCAGGGTTTACTTCTGTGGCAGAATCTGCCATTTAGTGCCAGCTCACCATGCACATGTCTGTCCTTGCCATTCACTCACCAGCTCCCGGAAAGCACACTGTTGGTGGGTCTTTGTCTGCAGCTCCCACCTCCAAATATTCAAGACAGAGCCCAGAATGCAGTAGAAGCTGATCAGTGTTGTATTAGTTGAATTACTGAAGAAGTGTGATATGAAATTCTCCATAGTTTTAATAGTGAAACAAATACCAGTTATAAAATCAACTGGCACCTTGTTTAAATGATGTATAATTACTTACAGGATTAAGATGTCAGATTCCAGTGTGAGAGCGAGTCCTGCCCACTGCAGCTATGGAAATCAGAGTTAATCAGTTAGGTCCCTAGAGCTCACTTATGGCCTCAGAATCCTTCTTCACAGAGTATTCCATGCAGCCAGTAGCAGTCAGTAAGGAGAGGCTTTTGAGATGTGATGAAAACTTTTTTACTACACTGGCCCAAATAAAAATAGTAGAGCAATGTGATTTTTGTTTATTTCAGAATTGTTTTTAAAATCTTAAGTATTTTGGGTTTTTAGCTCTGGATCAAAGATATATTAAATCTATGAAAAGACCATTAAACCAGTCACAGGACAAACGTTATAATAGTCTACTTTCATGGGGTGCCTAGGGTAGTCAGATTTACAGTCAGGAAGCAGGGGCTACGGAGAGGGAGATGGTTTATTGATCTTTAATGGACATTGAGTTTCCATTAGGAAGGTGTTGATGAAGTTCTGGAGGTGGTGGTGGTTACAATGGTTGACAACAGTGTGACTGTACTTAATGCCACTAACTGTACACTTAAAAATAGGTAAAAGGACAAATTTTATGTTCTCTATATTTTACTAAAATAAAAAGGAAACCTATGAGAGGAGGAGCTTTCCAGAATAAATACAGTCTTACCCAAAAGCTGAACTCACAGTTTGATTTTGGCATGAAGCACAAATTGGTGTCACCAACTCTTGGTGGCCATTTCAGAGTGTTTTACCCTGTCCACCTGACAAAGCAGTCAAACGGGAATTTCATAAAACTGGAATTCTGGGGGAGGCTAATGTATCCAGTTGTGTGATCAGAGCAGATCATTGACGCTGGGAAGCCAGGACGCGGACCTCTGACTGGTGGTGTCAGGAGTCCCCCAGCGTGGCAGCCTTAATGGTAGTGCCAGTTTATGTTCTTGCCTGGGGTAAAATTCAAAAGCAAAATCTGGAAAGCTGAGTGGAACCGAGACTTGAGGGTAACGGAAACAGGAATGGGCAGCCAGGGTCACACCTGCGGGGCAAGGAGGGTGGCCCTCTGCGGTGTGGGCCGCACCTGCTCCTGCACCTGCTTGTGCTCCTGCTCCTGCACCTGCTTGTGCTCCTGCTCCTGCACCTGCACGTGCTCCTGCACCTGCTTGTGCTCCTGCTCCTGCACCTGCTTATGCTCCTGCTCCTGCTCCTGCTCCTGCTCCTGCACCTGCTCGTACTCCTGCTCCTGCACCTGCTTGTGCTCCTGCACCTGCACGTGCTCCTGCACCTGCGGGCCTGTGGCTCGCTCGCGCCCGGGGGGCCGGCGGGGTCTTGCAGGGTGCGGGGACTGATGCGGGGTGCTGGAGATGAGACTCCACGCGGCTGCGGGGCGTCTTTCCGCGGGGTGGGTGCCAGTAGATACTGGAAAGCAAATCCTTTGCTCGAGAAGCTGTGTGTGACGCTCTCGAGCCCGGGTCCCGGGGGCCAGGCTCACCTCCGGATTCTC